CAAGGTAGAGACCTGTTCTATAGGAAAGGTAACCTTGAATGACTTCTGTCTGTTGTGATCTGGCGCTATATAGAAAATAAAATTAACTTGACCTTCAGGGGGGTTCCCCCAATATAATGGTAGGGGGAAAAGGGCTATTATATTTCAACTTAAGTATAAACCAATGAATTGTGCGTATGCTTTGCCCTCTGTGTATGTGATTTATGTGTAGCCCATTTTATTCTGAATAAGAATTTCTGCTCTTTGGCGATGTCTGTGTTGGACTTCATGAACAGTTCAGCTTTCCCACTCCCCTAGTGCCAACTCATTTTTGGGTTAATGTTAGTAGAAGCCTACTACTCAAAGAAGGATTGTTAGTGGGTTTCATCGAATGAAGTTGGGACTTCACTCGATGTTAGCGGTGCATATGCGCAGTGCACACTGACTCCGACCTCCATGCAGCATCTCTCGTCAGAACAGCTGTCTGTCAGCAGGAGGACAGTACGGTCTTCACCAGGCTGACTGACAGCAGAAATGTACTAGACAAAAATTGTTTCTATGTTGGCTTCTTCAGCAAGAAATCAGCAGTGTCTAAGTGTTCTGATTTATTTATTTTATTAATTTCCCTGTCTTGGAAGGGGGAAAGTAAAACCAGAAAGCTCACAGTGACACCAGGAGCCTGATCCATGAGAAGAGATTAAAGAAAAAAGCTTCCAATACATAAATAGGCTAATGGATGATCTACCTGATTTAAGCAGCTGTCTGTGGTAATTACATTTAAGATGCACCAAAGAAAAAATAAACTTGGTGTAAAAAAGGGGTCCAGGAATTATGTGCGTCTCTGAGTCAGCACAATTTGATAGCTTGATTAGCAACATCAGAAAATTCTACCTATATAAACATATGGGGTAGCACAGTTTAAAAGCTTAATAGCTATATTTCATTAATTATTTTAAATAACCTTGCCATCCAATGTGCATAGCCTGTATTTATGATGAAATTCAGAGAGGGAGATTTAGTGAACACAATAAATGGAAAAATCACTTCTGGAACAAGTTTGCAGTGCTTTTTATGTACCGGTAGTCACTGTAGTGCTCTATAGCCTAGCAGTCAACATGATGATAACGAGGACACTGATGATGATGATTAGTCTATCATAGTTCAACTGAAGTACAAACCGATGAGTTCAAGTAAAAAAACTTCTAACACATAATTAGGCCAACAGGTGATCTACCTGATTTAAGCAGCTGTCTGTGGTAATTACATTTAAGATGCACCAAATTAAAAATAAACTTGAAGGGTAAAAAGGCATCCAGGGATGACGTATGTGTCTCAGAATCAGTGTGGATAGAACCATTTGATAGATTGGAAGTCTCTGCCTCATGAGATGAGCGAGTGACAGTCCTTGAGATAAACACTGTGATCACGGTATTGTGGAGATTGTTACATCTGTCCACTATTTTTACAGTGAGAGCATCATCTGTGCATAAGCTTTGTATTTTGTCACAACCTTTGTTTTGAAAAGAGTCAGTCGCACCTTAAATAAATTTGGTTGCAAAATGTGAGTGATCACTCACAGTCTGGAGCCCTGATAAAGCACAAATGCTCTGTTGATTTTCAAATGCATTAAGTCACTATTTTATTCTTGAGTGGATAAAACAGTGCTTTCAAGTAGGAGTGTGATGAACATGATTATATTTCTCATCAAGGCGCAAAAGCTGTCTCACAATATCCGTACAAAACGGAACCAGAGCAGCAGCCAGTATGATGAACTGTGGACCGTACACTGACATTAGTCTAGCAAAATCACAACTCCCTGTTGTGTTTTAATGCACAGGGCTGCTTTGGTTGGGGGGTGATGGGTTGCAGGGGGAGTGTTGTGGGCATGTATGATACGGCTGTGACAAGTCGACATGGGTGGCTTCATTCATGTTTCCAGCCCACGAATTTCCATTGCGTTTTGGTTAGCCATGTTGCTAACATAGCCTACTCTACCTTAGCACCAGTGTGTCGGCATTGGTAGATAAAAAAAAAAAAAAAAAACATTTAACATTACGTACTTACGAAACTGCATGGCGTGTCGTTGTGGTGGTGTTAATTTTGGCCCAAATTTGACACTGAATAGCAGTGAATGCTCATGCTAACAAGGTAATCAAAAGTCTTCTTCCCATGGGTGCCCACATCCCAATTATCCCTGGTATGTGATTGGTCAAGGCAGCACCTTTGCTGGATCATGTTGCCGCCCGGTGTGGTGCAGGGAGAGTGAAAGTATCATAGAAGGTCACACACACTTCAGATAGAAGTTAGAAGCTCATGGACAGTTATAAGCAGGCCCAAACAGAATCAGTGGATTTTTTTATACAGTTTTCTGTGATTATTCAGAATGGAAATCTGTGGAGTTCTGCAGTGATTTTTTTTTTTTTTTTTTTTGCTTGTAATGTAAAAGAAAATATAAATTTTGCTGCCAACACAAAAGTGCATTAAAGGAACTAAAATAATCTTAAGCAAGGTAAACGAAATCACTGTATACAAACTTTTAAATTTGAGAGATTAATTCTTCAACATTTCAAGATACACAAAGTGTGAACATTTGTTGGAATTTCCACCAGCATAAAATTTAAGGACACATGGCCACTGAAATACAAAGTTGACTTTACTTTGACGTAGGCTACTGACCGACCACCGTGTTTAAAAAAGGAATGGAGCGCTTTCAGACAGTCTGGTCAGGAGACATGAATATCTTTGTTAAATTATCTTTGTGGGTTGTTCACGTAGGTTATTGAGGAGAACAGCTCTAAAAGGTTGACATACATTAACCTGGGTTGGCATGAGAATGTGTAAGGAATGAAAAAGAAGCACTAGACAGATGTGCAACTAGCCAGTCAAAGTGTGAAGTAGAGGTGAATGTCGGATTCTTGACATCGAAAATGACAAAAACATTCACAGCCTCATACAAGTGTTGCGCACATGCAGGCAGGGGCAAACGCATGCTTGAATTCTGAGTGTTTACTTTCTTTCCAAAATCTGTGGACAATCTGCAGAATCAGAATCAAGTTTATTGCCAAATAAGTAAAGTTGAAGTTCACATTATCAGGAATTTGCCTTGGCGATTTGGTGCATACATAGACACAAATAAAAACACAGACATAGCAAGTAACATATAACAATCATTCAGTCATATAGTATCATATAATATTACTAAAACCAAGTACTAAAATAAAATAATTGAAGAAAATAAAATTAAGATTAAAATAGGGTACAATAATCGAAAATGCAGACTATTTGCCTTATATGCGTATTTACAATAAATTTACACAGTAAATTAAACCAATGTGACCTGATAATTCGAGTGGACATACTCAGCCCATAAAAATCTACAGATGTAAGTAGCAGAACATATTACAGTAACTGTACTAATGTAACAGACCAACAGAGCAGTGTAATTTAGTATTAGAAAGCCTGATAGCAGATGGAAAAAGCTATTCTTATTCTTCAACTTATTTGGCAATAAATTTGATTCTGATAGAGGTGTCATCGGAGTTCTGCAGGGACAGATTCATTAAATCATACAAGAGAGAAGCCAGTCAAATGGGTTTGTGGCCAAACCTTTTACAGTGCTTGCATATGGTTGTCTTTTACTGCATATGATAATTCATACTCAGAAAGTAGAACTGAAGTGACAGTCATTACCAGATTAGTTAAAACATTTCAAAATCTCTTTGCATTGTTTTGCATGTTGTGACTTTCAGACAAATAAGGCTTTTTCAGTTATATTTTATCATTCAAGATTTCTTAAAAATACTGTTAAAATATCATCTCGGTTCTTACGCAAAGTTCTCGCAGGTGGGTGTTACAGGGCTGCCTCCTCGTTGGTCAGCAGCTTTTCTACTGACAACCATTGGCCAGGAACTGGTGCAACTCTATTTATCTTCCATCTCCTGTGTGGATCTATAATACATCCATGCTTTGAATGCAGTTACTAGAAATGAGTGAACAAAATACAGTAGTCGCCCCTTTACTCCCGTTAAAACAACTTTTTTTGACTGCAGATATACAGACTGGCAGCATATGTACAGGGTGAATGTGGCAAGTATCCATGACAATTTCTGTGGCACCCACATTAGTCGATTAGCTTCCACAGTAATGGTAACTGTCTAAATATACTCATGCATAGACTTGGAAGCTGCCTGGAAAACAACTGACCGTGTTGTGACACATCTGTCGCATCTGTGTCTGCTGTTGGGCACACTTCTTCTGGTGTTACTAAATCAGGTAAGGAACTCACACCACTGTATTATATGTCATGTTAGTAACATGCTTTCTAGCTTTAGCTTAGCTAATAGCAATAGCCACAGTGGGTTACTGTCAGTGACTTTGGCAATAACCTCTGCCTGCTGAGAAATACTAGTATTCTAAAGTACTATATAGTCATGCAGCATAATACAGAACAAATGTAATCACTTGATGGCCTGTTATTCATATCGATGATGCAGCCATAGCTGTAATATTCAACACATTCCAAGTATTACAATAGCTGCACCTAACACAGGGTGCAAGGCTGCAGGTTGCTCATTTTCTATAATTGCTACATTTTTTACTGGAAATTTTGATGGTGCTGCAATGAATATGACAATCTAATATATATATAAAATCTGTGTTCCTGTTAAAGGACTGTTATGTCAACACGTCTTCCATATTGGTTTTGGGATTATTTTTGATGACAGTCTCCACTCCAGCTATTGTTGTAGATAAAAAAAGAAACTTAATTAATTTTTACATTTAGATAATACCACAGATAGAGGACAATATTGATAAGTGACACAGCATTCATTGATACCAAATGTCTTAAACATACCAATAGGTAGTTTGAGTAGCAAATCAAGGGAATACATCACTGATTACTGCTTGCGCTTGTATATTTTCTTTGCTTTTACTTGGTATAAAATAGTTAAATTTTGAGGAGTGACTTACAGCATCATCTGTCTCATGTTCTTCTGAACTGTGCTTTCTATTATACAAAGGTAAACTACAGAGAGGTGCCCTCAACTGAGCAGTGACAGGAGCCAGACTCTTCTACCTGATGTTCTTCTATGGACAAAGAGGCTGAATTGAAGGACCACCTTGGATAGACAGATGGATGATGCTTGCATTATTCATTGAGAGACACTGTACTATGTTTAAAACAACAGGAGTAACAACTTCAAGAATTGTAGTGCTCAGCTAATATGTTATATACATTTTAAAGACCCACTCCACTCAAAAAAAAAAGTTCATATTTTTATACCCCATTAATATCATTCCTCCACTATACTGACAGTTGTAGATGCATAGTTTGTTACTAACAGGGTGTTTTTACATTCCTCAGCTGAAGGGGACGGATATCTGTTTCCTCCCAAAAAAATCCGAGTTTGAAAGAGGCTTGGGCAGACTTGATTTGTGACGACAAATTTGGACAGCCAGATTTGGTTCTTGGGTTTTCTGGAGTTCAGGAGAAATCTGAAGCCTCTGGGCTCAGCAGCCAGAACTAACTTTTCAGCACCAGGTGGCAAAAGTTGTTTCTGTTGACAGCAAATATGCTAGATTGCACAATTTTTGGATATAAACCAAACCCTGGAGCTTCTTTATACAATTTATATAATTACTATTAAGCTAACACTGTGAGCTAGTGTGAAACATGCATCATTATTAGCAGCTGGTTAGCTATGGTTTTGGCTTCTGGTAGCAGCCTGAGGGCTGCATTTAGCCATCTGCTAATAACACTTAAGCTCCCAGTCTTATGTTAACGTTACTGTGAGGTTGTAGTTCAACTGAAAAAATGAAGAGATGCTGACATCATATTGAATGTTATGAGATGTGCAATTAGTTACTGATGTTTAACAACTAAGCTATGTTTGTCTCACTGCTAAAGCTAATGGTTAGCCTCTTGCTAACTTAGCCTCTGCTAAAAATGCCATTCTTCAGGTTCTCTGTTGCCAGATTGCGTTTTTCTTAATCATTGAGCAAAAACAAACAGATACTAACATACTGGCAAACATTTTGAGAGGTAAGCAAAAACAAACAGATACGGTACTAACATACTGGCAAACATTTTGAGACAGTGTGAAACACCGCTGCTGGAGTATTAACAGCAAAGCACAGATAGGCCTAAATGACAGGGAAGGCAACATTTGGTTCACCACTGAACCGAGTGCTGACAGCATCCTTCTGTGTTAGCTACCAACATTAGATTAACGCTACATTTTGGATCGACTGAGATAAAAAATACTGACATATTATTCAGTGTTAGGAGATCATATAAGACATGTAGTAGATATGTATAGATGTACTGTTGTTGGAATGGAATATTAACATTTACATTTGGTAGCTGCTAATAAAGCAAGGCAACTTTACTAGATTGTTTTGGATCATCTGGGAAAATAAAAAAATACTGATATACTATCAAACATTATGGGATGGTAGACACTTTGGAGTATTAACAGCAAATTAAAATGCTATGTTTGGATCACTATTAGTAGTCCAACTGCATGCAAACAGCCTGTTGACATACTATCAAAACTCTCAGCTAGACTAATGCTTTTGCCCCTTTTACTTGTATCTCTTTTATACAGTACTGCTCTGTAATGGGTGAATGAGGCTCAAACATAAACTGCTAAATCTGTTCAGTTTTAACTCCTGCATCTCATCCCGATACACTGGTCTAGATGGGAGAAGTACATCCTCTCCTGTGCCTTCTTGATGATGGTGCTGATGTTGGACATCCACTTCAGGTTCTGAGAGACTGTGGAGCCCAGAAACTCGAAGATCTCCGCTGTTGTTACAGTGATGCTGAAGTCCATTGTCATTTCTACAGTTTTGAATGTGGAATATTATTGCAATCTTCTGAAATAGACTTTGTATAATGATTATATTCATAATGGCAGTCATGTGATGAAAGGCTTCTCGGCAAGGAAGAAGACTGACATAAAAAAGGCAGACTACAGGTTGTAGCTGCATAACCCAAAATGTTGGATGCAACTTAAACAATTTGAAGGCAGTGCTACCAAATACTAATGGAGTGTATGTAAACCTCTGACCCACTGGGAATGTGATGAAAGAAATAAAAGCTGAAATCAGTCTTTTTCTCTACTATTATTCTGATGTTTCACATTCTTAAAAAGCCCATGCTTTTTGTTTTTTGACTTATCTACAATGTTACAATGGTGGATTATCATCTTAGACATGACAAAGCACAAAAAAATGGGGTGTATGTATGTTCTAGTATTTCTATGCAGAAGCAACTTTTATGTGATGGATTTCCTTGAATGGTCATAATCTCCAGGCAGTTGCACATTCATGTGAAGTTGCCTGACATCAACCGGTGCCATTTTAAAAGTGGAATTTTTTGGCTGCACATGGTTTTGTGGATATATTTTACCTCATGCTGACCAGAGGTCGGAAGAAAAACACAGCTTGCAGTTACTGCATGTCCAGGAATATTTCTGTACAGGGACTCCGTTTTACCCGACCAGGTCTAACCTACAAGCAGACCCCACGGTGGTGAATGATCAGCTCATCAATGCTGGATTCCCCTGGAGCACAGTAACTGTTTGTTTTGACTGCTTGAGGCCAGTGTGTCTGCTGCATGTGATGTGTTGCGGGTTGGCGAGCGGATTGTAATGACCCATGATGTTATTGTTGGTACTGTGCTACCTGAATTAATTTCACTACTTTGGGACTGTATGTGGTCGTGTGGGGTAAGATGCAGTGACCACTGGTTGTATTTACTGACCTTGGAGCTACTTGAAAGTGAGCGATGTTTCCACTACTTGGTGGGAGTTAACGGTAAGTTTAAAAAAAAAAAAAAAAAAAGCACACGTTGCATGTCTCTTAATGCCTTGTTTCTCTAACCTTAGAGAGAATTGTTGTAAGGCTGGAGAAGTTACTATGCCAGTTAAAATATGGGGTTTCTCAATTACCTGCTCTGTTTAGAGTGTTACACATCTCTTTTCGTCGGTACATATGCCATTGTTTACCTATGGAGGAGACATTCATATTTATGCCATTGCAGTTCATTGTGCTGTCCACTCACCGGCAACAGGAGTTGTGCGTGTTCACGAACTCCTGTCGTTTTTATGAAGAGGCTCTGTTTTTATCATTCTGAAATAATTATAGACTATTTGGAGTTATGAGGGGTGTTGTGCTAATCTAGAGGTACCCAAGATTAAACATGAAATGGCTGGAAATGAGCAAAATGAGCAGGTCAAGGGCTCTTTAAAGTAGTGATCCTAACTGACCCATGACAAGGGACGTTTATAGGATTAAATGTCAGGAGATGTGAAGAACAAAGTTTAAATGTATTTGGCTAAGGTGTATGTGTGTCATCTTCTGTCTGACTTGAACTGTATGTAGTATATACAGTATCTTTGATGGATAATATATTGGAGCTCCCAAAATGGTGCAATTATGCAAAATTCAATACAGCCTGACGAAAACTCCACATTCTCTACATTTACATTACTGTGGAAGCTAATCAGCTAATGTGGGTGCCACAGAGATTCACGCCACATTCACTCTACATATGCTGCCAATCTGTATATTTACAGTCACATTAAGTTGTTTTAACCCAAGTAAAACAGTGATTACTGTTTTTTGGCCACCCATTTCTAGTAACTGCACCCATCGCACAGATGTATTATAGAGCCACACGGAAGATGGAAGATAAATAGAGTTGCACCAGTTCCTGCCCAATGGCTGTCAGTACAAAAGCTGCTGACCAATGAGGAGGCAGCCCTGTAACACCCGCCCACACGAGAGCTTTGCGTAAGAACTTAAACTGAAAAAAGCAACACAAAAAAATGGACATTGAAAAATTGAGTAGAGAAACAAAAAAAAAAGTGTCAGTGAAACTGAAAATCTGAGCAGCAAAACTGGAAAAAGTGACTAAAATTGAAAAGTGAAATTAAAGTGGAGAAACTTTTGTTTTAGGTAGGTAGGTTGGTAGGACTTTGATCCCACAATGGGGAAATTCCTGTGTTCCAGCAGCAATAGAGAGCAGCAATAAAACACCATAAGAACAAACACCACACACACCAACAAATTCCAAAATACCTAAAACCAGACAGAATATAGTATTTGAGAGACAATCAAGAACAAGAATGATCCTCCCACAATTAATCCCGCAATGGGGGATTTATCTCTATTTCAGCCATAAGGGTCTCTGAAAAACCACTCAAAAATACCTAAAACAAGACAATATAAACTATTTGAGAGAAATCAAGAACAAGATTTTACATATGTGCATATTTACAATGCATTTTATCCCCAGGATTTGAGTGTTGCATAGTCCCTCATAAAATCTTATTCACCTAGCTAGTTTTAAATTATTATATTAGATTTTCAATTTATTTTTGTTCAGTCCTTATTGGCTCAAATCATATTCTACACAAGGCTATTTGGAAAAATGTAAACACTGCTGATGAGCTAAAATGGAAACAGTTTGTCCAGTACATTTCTGCTGCCAATCAGCCTGGTGAAGACCATACTGTCCTCCTGCTGACAGCTGACATTAGCCAGGCAAGTGAGAGAGCTGAACTATGCATCAAGTCCAACAAAGACATCACCAAAGAGCAGCAATTCTTCTTCAGAAAAACACAGGCTACAAATACCCTAAATCACAAATGGTAAAGCACACACACACATTTCATCGGTTTATGTTTAAATTAAAATATAATAGCCTAATCTTCATCAGTGTCATCATTATCATGTTGACTGCTAGGCTATAGAGCACCTCAGTGACTACGGAGAAAGAAGTAGAAACTTGTTGCAGAAGTGATTTTCCCAGTCATTATGTTGCATAAATCTCCCTTTCTCTGAATTTCTTCATAAATATTGGGCTATTCACATTGGATGGTAAGGTTATTTAAAATAATTTGCAAAAAATACTGATTCTTATGCATTATGCTGTTAAACAGAGGTAGTGTCACCATCTGCGAGGCTTAGTGGCACCAGTGACCCCAGTATGAAATGTTAGTCTGGAACCCTGTATCAGAGTTTTTGTAACTATAAGTTTCCAACTTGTAAAAACCCTTTTTTGTCTGAAAGCTACAGTATGATGTGTCTGACTTGGCATTTACGAATACAGAACTGCTTGGAAAGCACACAAATATCAATGCAAAATACTGTCATTAAATGTAACCAAACCCAGACTGAATACATAGTGTCACTCAAGTCTAGAGTCATACAACTGTTTTGATTGCTTGAATGCTTGTAAATCATTGACTACATGGGGAATATTCAGTCATATGATGCGAACTGTGATGAATGCTGGTGTTGCCTGGAATCTTATGGCCTCACTGCATTTGGCTTATGGAAGCTTTTTTTGTTTGTTTGTTTTTTGTTAAAGCACCTCTAACTTTTTCCCTTCTCTGCTCCCTCCTTGCCACCCTTGCCACCTCTGTGAAACTAGGTCATATGTGATAACAACAGCCAGCAACAGACTCTGGAGTCAGGCAGTTCATCAGCAATATTAATGTCTACAGAATGTAGTCCATTGAGCTCATGGTTTTTGGTGACATTGTAGTGACACAGATCCTTTTTCTTACCTAAGGCAGTAACACAAGCAAATTATACAAAGGAATGTTTTGTCCCAGTATTATTGATACATTGCTAATGTTCTAGCCACTACTGCATTGTGTTCAGTGTTCAATGCTTGGCACAGATAATGTTATAAGGAAAAACATGAGTTATATGTGAAACGAGAAATTACACGTTATGCTTTGATAGTTGAACAAAGTCCCTATTTTTATGTCCATCATAAACAAACTATGTGGCCTGGACCAAAACTGAGCAAAAACTAGCAAACTGAGCAAAATGACTTAATTTGCTAATCCAGGAAAACACACTGATTTCTGCTAATCTGACAACAAAACACTAATGTTACAGTCATTTGGAATGACTCTAAATTAACCAGCATAGCAAAACACTAATGTTACAGTCACTTGGAATGACTCTAAATTAACCAGCATAATGAAATAGAAAGGTACAAAATTGAAATG